ATTTGTTTACCTATATTTATTGAGATGTTATTCAGTCATTTTGTCCTTTAATTGAGATAAGGTGCCCAAGATATAGAAATGTATCTACTTTCTCTATATGATTTTCGCCAATTTTTATATCTCCCTCAACGTTCACTGACATATAATTGCATTTTTTATAATTTATTTTCAGTCCTATGTTTTCTCCAGCCTTTATTAATTGGTTTGCCATCGTTAGGATTTCTTCTATATTTTTACCTATTAGGACTTGATCATCAGCAAACTCTAAATGGTTCAGCCACTCTCCAAAAATTTTCATTCCTTTGCTCTGCCAATTCATAGTTTGCATCAAATCATGGAGAACTGATATAAATATTTTAGGAGAAAGGGTATCACCTTGTTATACACATCTCAATTAAAGGACAAAATGAAGAAATAATCAGGCGATGTACCCAGGGATGGCGCGCACTCTTCAAATTTAAGGATATATATAGATCCTCGGTGAGCTCAGAGGTCAAGAGAAAACTTTGGGTGAGCACAGTACTTCCTGTCATGACATATGGTTGTGAAACATGGGCAATTGACCAGAAGACTTGCCACAAATTGAGGATAACCGTCAGAGGAATGGAGCGATATCTTCTGGGGATAACTCGAAGGGATAGAAAAACAAACAAATGGATCAGAGCTAAGACTGACCTTCCAGATATTGTGGAAAAAGTGCTCATCAGGAAGTGGACCTGGACCGGACCGGACAGGTTCATTACCTAGTGTGGTTACAAGAAAATTAAGTACAAAAAACAAAAAAATCGAACTGAAAACCTCAACTAAGTTGATTTTGTACATATAAGAGATTTTGTATATTTTTATCCATTGTTTTTTCATTGTATGCATAAATAAAGGTTATTATTATTATTATTAATATTATATTCAGTCATGCTATATAAAGGACTTCCGTAGACGTTTTGTTTAATGTCACTCCAAACAGAAAAATCTAGTGGTGTCAGGTCTGGAGAGCGTGCAGGCCAAGCCACTGGTCCTGCACGGCCAATACATTGATTAGGATATTGGGTATGATTGAGTAAGTCCAATGAATGACCTTAATTCCTTACGAAGAAGAATAATTGAATCTTGTGAAACTATAACACATATCCAATGCCGTTCTGCCACTGCTGCTGTTGAAGAAGCCTGCCTTAATGCTCAAGGAAATCACTTTGAACAACGTTTATTATGAATGTTAATGTTTACACCCAATTAATAAAGTAATTAAAACAAATAAATAAGTTTTATTTATTTCGTATAACGTAAATATTTCATGACAACGAAAATCTTTAGACGTGAATATCTCGTAAACCATGCGTTTGCGGACATACCTTTAGAGGATCTTTTTTTTCTTGTTTTTTTCATTTTCACAGTTTGGCCACTTAACCCTGAAACATCCTGTATATAAAAAATATTAAACCATCTAAGATCCGTGTATTAACTTTTATATACCAAAAATCTATGTATATCCAGTATTTTAGGAACCTTAAATTTGTATTATATGAAAACGTACTGTAACAATTAAAAATATTATAAAATGTAATAATTATCAAAACGAGCCCTTAGCTTTAATTTTATAAGAATGGATGATAATTAAATAAGAAAAAATAAGGCATGCTTTACTGTTTCACAAAGCAATAGAAATTCCCATTAAGATCTGGTTTAAGAAGAAGTGAATGCGGTTTAGATGAGAGTGATATTCTATCAATCCCTTTCCTAACGTGAAATTTTTATATTAAATTAAGTTTAACTTTTTCTTTCTTATCATGAACATGGCTTCTTAACGAAAATAATTAAGTGTAAAAAAAAGTCCACTTATAATAGGCGTTAAATCATCTTCATTTAAAATAAAACGAGATTCACTAATTGAAACCTAAGCAAGTTTTGGAAGAGATTAGAAGCTATTTAGGATCGGGATCGCTCAAGCACTGTACTCCCTTTGCGTCGAGTTCCGGGTTCGAATCCGGCCAGAGGAAGGTAATAATTTACTGTGTCATATCAGCTGCGGATCGAATCTTGAGTCTGGAGACCCTCCTGGAATACAGGCTTAGCTTCTATAAGGTGGGTACTCTTAATTAAAAAAAATAATTAAGAGGAAAAACCTTGCGAGTGATCTTGGCATAACCACCTCGTAGTACAACCAGGTGACCAAGAAACACTACTTCCTTAGTACACACTACTACTTACTGAATCCAAGACACTTCATGGGTTGCAGTGGAGCAGCTGTTTTTTTTTTAATTTTTGTTTTTTTTACTTTACCGAAAACTATATTATTTAAATCCTTAAATTTTGTAAAAAAAAAAATAATATTTCCCAATAATTGCTTTTGATGCTTTTTATTAAAAGTTATGGATAGTCCACGTACCGAAATTTCTTTATACAGATTTTTTTTCAAGTAAGCTATATGCATGATGTATATAGTTCTGAGGATAAAATAGTATACACACATATTCAAGAGTTCTTATCTCGACTCACTTACGATGACCTTGAGGATTACCCCCATGTTTGGGTCGGAACGTCCGCTAAAACCCAATAAAATTCATATAAACCCTAATGCAATAAATAATCTTGTAAATAAAAATTCTGTAAATCCTGACGATTTTGTTTTATCTAATAATTGGTCATTCGACATATCTTGAAATTCCTATCCATGTTATAAAGATAGATTTAATAATTTAAAATTTGTCTGCAAATTCTTTTAAATTTTCATTTGAATAGAATGTTCATTTTTTTAAGGGAACATGTCTATCGAAACTATATAACATTTTTATTTCAGAAAATTTATTTGGCTTAAAATATAAATAGATTGAAAAATAAGAATCATGTTTCAACAGATAAATACCAAAGTGTTTTTAACAACTTAGGGCTTGCACTATCGCCCATTATTCAGATATACCAATACATTCACCACTCTTCGTCTCAACGATGTTATTAGATGAGTGCAATAGAGCAAAACCTTTCATAACTTTTTTGCATAATGGAAATGATTGGAGATTACCTGAAGGAGACTTCGGTCAGGTCACCAGGTTAATAGACTTCAGGTTAATTCTTTATGAATCATGAGGTATCTGGTTCTGGTTTTTCCAGCATTCAGTAGGGTTCCACAGATTCGTTTATTAATTTTATAGGTATAAAACTTAACATTAACATGAAAACTTATAATAGATTATTTTAACCTACATTACGCTAATATCATTTAAAAAATCATCAAATATAAATTTTTGAATCAGGAACGTATTTCGAATTGTCATATTGGTATCTATATAAGTGAGCTATATATATATAATACCTATTCCAATTTTGGTTTCTTAATCCGTTCTCTATCCACATGTTGGACATCTCCAGCAAGACAACAACATAAAATGATAATTTTTATCCTCTCAAGTAAAAGTACTCCTATTTTCAGAAAAAAAAGGCTAAAATTAATTATTGAAAAGATATAATTGATATATTTTTTCCGGTAAATCGGTTATAAACTGTCGTTTTCACTTAGATCTCTATTTTAGGAATTGATCCGTATTTATAAGTGACAAACTAAATATTCTTGAACTTAATATTACATTTTTAATTAAAATAATTGAAGCCATCAGGTTTTTTTAATTTTAAATATAAATTTCAAGACTAGAAACTTTTATTTTATCGATCACAAATACAAATTCTTGTAATAGAGATATGGGTGAAAAAGCAGTTTTTAAGTTTAAAGCAGTTTACAACAATTGATTGTGGATATTGCTGAAAACAGGGGCACTTTTACTTGAGAGGATAAAATATATATATATTTTTTTTCATTACAAAATTTGAACTGAATCACAAATTTGTCCCTAATAAACCTCAACTTGATTAATATATACTTAAGGCTTATAAAACGAAGAAGTTTTTGTAAAAGTGGTAAAACTGTAATGTAGTTGGATGATAATAAAAAAAAATGGCGAATAATTTATGATTTTTCTAAAAACAGAACTTACCTTAGTTTAGTCGCTCAAAAGTCCTCTGTAAATGATTTTAACAATGATGATCTCTATGTCCATTTAAAGTAAATTTTATCTTGTTTACAATGAAACAATTATTAATTAATTGACTTAAATATTTCTTTAGTTATTGCTTTCGATTCGATAAAAAAACATGACTCACTTAAAAAAACAACACAAAATTTGCTACTTTTCGGCTGAAAATTGACCCATCATTTATATGAACTTTTTTGTAGCTCTCGAGGTCTCTTCTTCACTCTTCTAAAACTTTCTTACGGGACATCCTGTATAATATCTTTTTCATCTATTATTTATTAATTTTAGGTTTAACTGCTTACACATACTAGTAAATTTATTATTACATATTCCTATCTAATTATTTTCCGACTATTTACTTGTTATCTTTTACTATACTATTTACTTGTCTTTGCTTAGTCCTGATGATGGCCTGAAACTAAAGCTGGAACGTCGGCCGGAGATGGCTGCTCTGAGTACCAAAGACTTTAATGACTACTTCAGTTGATGATGTTAAACGATGAATTAGTGATTGAATTCCCAATAGTGATTCAATGTGAGTAAAATATTTGGTACTCCGTACAGAGTAGTATTTGCCCATCCCGGCACAATGAAAATAAATATTTTTTTTGTGTACTTCTAATAACTGCATCTACCAACCAAATTCCTTAATAAATATATATATACTTCTCGATATTTCTAATATATATGTTTCTAGCTAATGGTATTATTAATATTTTTATGGGTGCATGATTATATGTGGCCTGATAGTGGATAGTTGAATGCTTTGACAGATCCATGACTCATAGTTGGTGAGATACCCTCAGTGTGTACAGTAGCCCCGATGATGGAGTCATTAGCTAGGAGACTCGAGCGAGGCGTTAAAGTCTCCAAGCATTTCCTGGTGGCTGTTGTGAAAGAGAAGGTTCGGGCGATGTCGTGCAGACTCGGATAGGGCCGGGGGGTAGCCAGGAGGGCGCAGCCTACACTAGTCCTCTCCACAGTCCCTAGCGGCCCAGTCCCCGATCGACGTCGTCAAGGTAAGCAAGCCATCGCATTAAGTCTTATTTCTTTTGCATGCCTCTAAGTGTATTCCAAAGCCGTCTATTTCTTTCATAAGTGTTTTATTACACAACTTCGGTTTTACTTTCGGTAGAAAGTGAGTCGCAGCTCGGGCGGATTAAGAGAAAAATCTGTGAAAGTTTTGTTGATTTCGAAGGGGGCCCCCTGTGTGAAGTATTTTTTTTTTATTTATATATATTAAGAATTCGTTAGGTGTTATTTTTTTACATATTTTTTACCATGTGCATGTTTCCTACAAAGTAGATGTCAACATCGAGGCAACTACTATAGTGAAAGGGGATCTTGTAATCTTTTACGGGATATAAATCTATACGAAATAGCATAATGTGTATTTCAGTTTTATTTATTCTATCGACTTATTATTGTTAATGCGGTCTTTAACAGTATTTATTATTAGATCTTTATTTACTCGATGGTTTCTAATGAAATGTCAAGAGGTGTTAAGTCTTCATATTTATTAACACAGGACTGGAGTATACAAACAAGAATCTCTTGAATCCTTTCTATAAAGTCTTTCATGTAAATGAACCACGCTTTTCAGCATTACCTCCGCTAGTTTATGGCATACTGTTTAGATACCGGCAGATCCTTTAGAATTTACAATCTGCTTCGCGATAGGAGGAAATGACACGGCCATCTCCATTGGCACCTTTAGAAGGCCTATGCCCACTTCGAGCTCAAATACTCCCACATATTCCGCAACGCTCATTAGCATTTATTTAATAGACTTCTTACCATAACTAGTTTCAGCTATTTTGTTTCAAGTTGTGCTAACACCTGTTGGTGTGTCCAACTCTTTTCCTGTCCTGTCCTATCGTAACCCTTATATGCAGCTGTACGAAGAATGATTTCTTACACGACTTATAAGAACCTGTGACAAAACTTCGAAAGCCTTCGATCTTACACAAGAAAACTGGATCTGACATTTGAAAAATAAAAAAACAAGAGCAGAGACTGATATTTTAATATGGAACTGGTTTTTCCCCTGAACAAGTAATATCCGTTTCATTTTGTTTTCCTCGATCCTTTTACTTTCGTCCGAGTCTTTTTCAATATCTTTCTCGTGAAATAATTCCGCTAGTGAGTAATCGGTCAAAAAACTGATGGATCTAGAACCTGCCACGCTTCAGAGTATAAGAAGATATTAAAGCGATTTCTTGGTGGGCATTGTTGCGAAATTGCATATAGTTTAGCAGGCCGCCATTCGTTTTCCTATTCCGCGAGTATTTTTTTTATTTTCTTAAAGAAAGAATTTCCCCGAAGAAAAAGTGATATTGAGGTCAGACTGGACAGGTTTCATAATGTCCTCGGCTTAGTAAATCTTATCCATCCAGGTGTTTAAGATTTGAGATGAAATGGCCTTTGTGATTTTAAAATTATAATTATTTAAGTTTTTTTTTTACCTTTTTAAAATATATTTGATATTACCTTTTGTTTTAACGTCTCTTTAAAAGGTTGCTGATCGATGGATAAACAGTTTTTCTGTAACTCATTTTATCAACTGTATGAAAACCAAGTGATACAGTCACGGATGTCTTCTTCCCATTCTATAAGTGCCCCTTTCTTCAAATGTTCTAATTCTAAATTTTGAACAGTTTCTCATTATACCTTAGATATCGTATTAGTGTTAAAACGAAAAAAAAAAATGCTGTTCTACGGGCAATTTTGTCATGAGAAATCTTTTTTTTTTTTTGTTAACAAGTAATGTGTCTTTTTCAAATATTTGTCTCTTTTCTTTTTATTTTCCTCCGTTCCTTAACTTAACCTTATTATTTTTTTCAGAGATAATTGTTTGTAGCATAGCCTACAATCATTGGAACATTGTTGTGACTACTTAACCAAGTTTACAGGCAATATAATAATTTGAAATAAACACAAAAAAAAAATAGAAAAAATATACAATATTAAACTAAATGCTACAAAGTTTAAGCTGGAGACATTAATATTTTCCCCATGGTTAATTATTAAAGTTTTTTATAATATTTAAAGTAATAAACCAAAACACGTGTCTCTAATCTTTAAAAATAATAAGCAATTTCGATGTTTTTTATTTGTTATGGTAACTTAATTACTTTTCTAATATCATCAACTTTAATTCAAATATTTTATTCGAGAAAGTAATTTTCAAAATATTGGTGGGTATGAAGGGATGGAAAACAAAACAAACAAAAAATTGAATATAATCCAGAAGGCATTTTTGCCAAATCAAAATTATCCAAAACTTCTGATTTTTTGTCCAGTTCATTGACATTTAAAATAAAAATCACTAAATCATTATTTTGAATTACATTTGTTTTTAATACTACGTATAAACATTGATGTATCAGCTTTATTTTATGATTTCTTTTATCAAAGTTCCCGTTAAAGGTTTAAAAATACATGAATGTTTGAGGTGTTGTGTGGTTTAGTTTTAATGAGTGTTCCAAATATTTTTTTATAGCACAATTCCAGATTAGTAGTATTATATTTATTGTGTTATTCTTTCATATTGAATATACTACAATTGTATGACCATGTTATTATTATTTTTTTTAATTTAGCAATTTTATACTGAAATTATTTATGATTTATTTTTTAATTTTGTGCTTGTGTGTGGTTGGGTTTGATCTGATAACAAAGATTTCAGTTTTATTGAAATTGAAAATGAAATAATTTTAAATCAACATGACTGAATGATGTGTGTTAATAAATATGCCATAATTAAAATTCCTCATTTACTTATTTCCTTGGTTTTGTCGCCTTAGAAGAAAATTAATTATAATTATTTTTTGTTTAATCTATAGTGTAAATTGTTTTACACCTCACAATGCCTAGTTGAGTAGGTAAATCAGACAAGATAGTTATATAACTTTAGAAAACTTGATCGTTAATTATTAAAATTTTCCATAAGGTTTTTCTTTCTCGACTACTGCTTCTAAGTTGAAATCCTTCATGTTACACGGCAACACTTTGGAATGCGGCTATGCCTATATTCTTATGTAAGGGTATGCATACCTTAATATTAGGTATTTTATATTCTGTAAATGGGAACCGGGGTTTCTTTAAATTTATTTGGAATATTTAAATGTTTTTTTTTTATAGTTTTATTACAGGTAACCTTTTGTTTCATTAATAGTCTTTTATTGTTTATGTTTATTATTAATAACTTAATAAAATAAAAGTAAATTAAGTTTAATTCCATAGGGTTCATCAATATCTTTAGTGATCTTAAAATTTTAAATAAATATATGAGAGTTCCGTATAAAAAATTAAATAAAATGCATATAAATATACACATTTTATAATGTTTTTTATTCTGAATTCTCAAATATTTATTTAAAATTTAAGTTGCATTTGCTTAGTATTACAAACACGTAAATCTTTTCTCTTTGCTTTAGAGAGAAGTTATTTTTAAAAAAACACTTTCTATCCTTGAAAAGCTTTTACCTCTTTTTATGCACAATGTATCGGTTTTGGAAATGTTTGCTGTTTCAATACTTATATAATTCAATAATATCACTATAATGTCCGTAAGCCAGTATTACTGTAAAGTACTTATTCTTTTTTATTATCATTTGGTGTTACTTAATTAACTATTTCTACGCTGTAGTACATTTATAATTGTGCTTGAGTCTAGAAATTTGAAATGTTTTTATAATTAATTCAATTATATAAAGTGTTGTTAATAATATGTATATGAAGACTGGTCATCGATAAGGGGCTATGTGCCAAAAAAAAAAAAAAATTTAATTAAAAATTTCAGGCAAGATAAATATCCTCGCTAATATCATAAAATTTGGGACAATCATTATTAATGATTCTGTCTTTAATCTGACTAATTGGAGTGCTTTTGCATATTTATTAAAATATCTTAAAAACTAAAATTCGGACCTGCATATTGTTATTGAAGGGAATGTTTTCGTCCTCTTTGTAATGAACTATTATTCAAAATTGTAACTTGACGCGACGCCGTGTTATATAGACGAAAAGGATAGAATAGTGTCGCAAACCAAATTATAACCAGTTTTATGAAAGATATGGATTAAAATATCTTTTAAACTAAAAATCGGACCAGCATACTGTAAGCGAGGGAAATGTTCAGCATTTGACCCTCTTTATAATGAGATTTTATTTATAATTTATATTTCATATTATTAATCTCGCTTTGTTGATGTTTTCACTTGTATCGTGTGGTCTAATACACACACCTTAGTTTTTTTTTTTTTTTCTTTGGTTTGGCACTTAGGCTGTTATTATATGGAATCATTATATTATAAAATTAATTATATTTTATTAAAAATACTTTACACATTATTTTTTTATTAAAATTAATAAGATTTTGAAGTTAAAAATTTACTATAATCTCCTCTTAGCTTTGTCAATGCAAAAACACATTAGAGATTAAATAATTATTTCGCTAATATTTTTTTTATTAAAATGCAAATTGCTAAACGATTGACAATCTAGTATTTGATACATAATACATAAAATATTATTTAAACCCAAAGTTATTTACTATTTTATTTTTTGTGATCAATGTTATATTTTGATCGATTGTTTCATCAAGTAAATAATAATTTTACTACGACGCATAATAAGTTCCTGAAATATGACTTGTTTTTAATCGCTTCCCTTCTAAGAAATATTCTCTGTTTATTTATTCTTATAATTTTTCGATTTATTCTCGTTACTTTCCGATTGGTTTAAATTGTTGTGCTTCTTAACTTATGCAATAGAGCTACTAGGCTGAGTATAAATCTTAGTCATTTCAAAGTTATTACATTAATTAGCATATTTTATATAATAAATATTTTTCATTTCAAATGAAGATGCATTTTTCAATGTTTTGGCCACGATGGACATTAAACGCTATCAAAGGTTTATTATAATGTCAATATTTTTCTTTTTCATTGTTGTATATTTTAAAAATAAACAGAATATATTTGATCCTGAGTTTTTTTTTTAATTTTATTTTTTA